GACTCTATATTGCTCATCTTAGTTTTGTTTAATTTCAATTTATAGAAGAAAATCAATTTTGATAATACCAATCTTTTGAACCAAGAATTTTTAGTGTCTGTACATGATACAACCTAAAATTATATGAATGAAATATAATTTTACTTTTTTCTTCTTTTTCATTTAAATATAATTCCAATTTAATTCCGTACCCACCTGTTGTGGATTGTGTTAAGCATGTTATATTGTTATTGTTGTTGATTGTAACATTATTTTTGTTCATGCTTTTGAATTATTTATCCATAAATCTATATTAAGTAGGTTATAATTTTTAAATCATTTTGTTATTCATGCTTTTGATTATGAATGTATTAAGCAATTTATAATTGTATTAAGCAAGTTATAATTGAAATTGATAGATTTTAGAGATTAATCAGGAAATCAGACATTTTGGGGTTGTTTTTCCTATTAATAATCCAATGATGGGTTGTGTTTTTCCTATTTTTTTCTTTCATTTTTCTACTTTCAAGTAATCAGTATCATTTATTAATCCGGTAAATTGGATTGTGATAATTGAAATGGATTGTCTTGCTTTTTGGCTTCTTATATAGTTGTGGCTTTTTGCTTATATTATTTTTTAATTGTAGTTGGTTTTCTATTTGGCTATATCAAACCCAAGTATGTATTCAAAAAATAGCAAAACTTAAGCCCTTTGATTTTAGAAACTAATATAACCTTAAGTCAAAATGGTTTTTCAAGAAATGGATAAAACACCAAGTTTACACACAACTAGAGAACTATATTCAACTGTTTGGTCCAGTCCGATGAATGCATATTGCAAAATTGATCAGTTTCGTGCTCCAAGTTAAAAGTGTGTCAAGCCAAAGGGGAAAACCAAATGAAGAGGTAGGAAAATACAGAGTCTTATATGACATTTAGTCAAAAAACCACTTCCCATCCCAACGGCTCTGATATGTAACTCCCTTGCTCGAAGCCCTCTCCCCACCCCCACCTTCAACACCCATCATTTCATTTCATTTCATTTTATGTCGTTACATATCTATTTTAGTTTGTTTTGAAGATTGATTGTAACATTCGACCTTTTTTTTTTTAAATATATTTATTACATTGTTACAGTGATGCTTAGTTTGTTGTTATGCCTTTGAAATGGATTGAGCAGGTTGTAATTTTATCTTGAATCATTGTTTATTATGAATGAATAATGGAAATGGGTTGTTTTTCTTTGTTATTTTCTCATCTCAGGAAATCAGACATTTTTGGGATATGGGATGGAATTTAAGTTGTTGAACATATGTTTTATGTGTTGTTGGAAATTGTTGTTTAGCGGATAAAGCTCTCAGCTTTGATAAATAGGAATTGTTGCTTATAGGCTTGGATAGTCAAATTTGCTGATTTTTGAATTTTTCCTATCATTACATTTTTTTTTTCACTAGGTGTTAATCTTCTATAATAAAGTGCAAAGATTCCTTACACTTCTCATATTTGGTTGATTAAAAGAATAATGAAAAATTCATTGCAATGGGAATCATCATTTATCTCATTCCAGTGAACCAAATAAAGTATCAATGAGATTGAAGTGTTTCAAATATGATTAGTGTTTTGATAAATGATTTAGGTTATTTTGATAAATGTGTGAATTGAGTTTCCTTTTTTAACATGCAAAGTAATGTTCTGTGATCTTTTATTTTTATTTGATTGTTAAAAATTAGAATTATAGTGAGAAAGAAATAGCCCATTGTATTTAAATCATGGCACAGTTAAGTAATCAAATAGTCATTGTACAGCCCATTGGTATTTAAACTTAATCTATTTATGGCACTATTAAATGAGTTATTTCTTTACTACAGATCTTTGGTGTTTTAACCTCTTTAACAACCTTGGAGTTCATTTTAATTTATATCATGGACAACATTCATATTTTTGGTTATGTATGTTTACTTTATAGCTTATGAATCGAGGCTTAATTTCTTACTTATTATTTATAATTTTTCTTATAATCAAATGCTCTTGTATTTTTTTTTGCAGGTGGATGATATGTTAGAGGAAACAGTAACATTAGATCTCTATACTCATTTTTTATTTATACATTCCTTAATATAATTTTTCTTTGACCTTTCAAATGCATTATACACAGGTTTAGTTTCTTCAAAACAAAAATGTCAGTGTTGTGATCCATAATGAACGAGACTTCAATGTCCTCTATGTTCGTGGGTTAAACCCACTAATCAAATTTATTTGTTTCTCATTTTTTTTTCTTAATAATTTTTGCTTATTTTTTTAAAGGCAAAGGCAAATGCAAAGGCAAAGGAAAATGAGAAGTTTAAAGGAAAAGAAAAGGAAAACTACTCAAGAAATGGAATAAAAAATACACAAGTGGTATGGTTCTTTTCAAGTTTGTTTTGGAACATGTATAAAGAAAATCATGGGAGAAATGTGATATTTTGAAGCATGCATAATCTCTGAGTAATTTTCTTAATATTACTGATTTTCAAATTAAATTATGCATCCTTAAAAAATTATAAAGGATCTTTTACAAAGATATATAAAATTTCTCAAATGGAATATGGAAGTAACTAAAGTTTAAAAAAGAACACAAATGATGAAAGAAGGAAATAAATTGAAAGTGTATTTTAATTAAAATTGTGTTTAAATTATGATCAAGTCAAACTTTTGTAGGATTGGGTTAAAAAAGCTATGGAGCTCAAGAGGATAAATAAGACTACATTACTCCGATGAAATTGTAATAAGGTATCTTTGGTTCATATTGTTTTAATATCTATTTTCCGTATTATGTCAATATGCTAATGTTATTGCTTTTTTAAATATTAGATTGTTGTGTATGCTCCTCACTGGAAAAAGTACATAGAACTTGATACTCGGACATTTCAGAACGTGATGGAGAACAAGTTTGAGGGTGTCCAAGCGCTTTAGAGGCGTCCAAGTACTTTTTTGAAAAAAAACAAGTTTAAAGACATTATATGGCATAAATTTTGTAAAGTTGACAAATATTTTGTAAAGTATATCCTTGATGTTAACCATTTTTGTAAAGTTTCCTACTGGTATGTACTTCAATGAATTTCTAATATTTTTGTAAAGTCTCTTATCAATATAAAAGATTGGACCTTATGGATTGTTATTGAGTGTGGACAGTAAAGTGCCTTTGAAAATTCACTAAATTTAGTATCTTTGCATATTTTGGTGGAAGTCACATATGCTTGACATGGATTTTGTGTAAATTTAGTGTCTGTTGTGCAGGAATAATTTATTAGTGAGTTGAAGGAGGATGTTATAGTATGGCTATGAATTTTATGTTTCTTGATTAAGAAAGACCAATGTATTTAGATGCACTATTTTCATGGTTTGTTTATGAATTCATTTTTCTTTTCATGACCTATTGATGTTTGATGTTTTATTCCTATTGATAGTTGATGTTTTATTAGACTAATTTGAACTATTTCTTAAACATGGCTGACTTTGAAAATATGTTAGAGAATGAGGTGGGAACTCTTAAAGGTATCACCCCAATTATGTGAATGAGGAGAGAAGTTTACATTCATGATACATTCATTAGGAAATACAAAATTTGAAATATATTAGTTATTTATTTCAGTTTTTTTTTATATCATTTGTTCCTGTTTTATGTGATGTTTTAAATAAGAATGATATTATCATTTTAAATTGATTTATTATAATTGAATTTTGTAGCACGTGTGGTATCAAACAAAAATTGTTCACAGTGCCTTCAAGCATGGGTTATCCCTAGTCATTCAATATAACCCCTCATGTTCCCAATCACCCAACACAATATCCCACCTATCCACCTTCTCCACCAATTATAATACTACGTGTTTGAGAGGATAATTTATATTTATAAATTGGGCCGAGCTGGGCAATGAGCCGTTATGGGCCACAATACGGAGGACAGAGTAAAAAGACCTTGAAAATTAGTCCGGTCCCAGACGGCCCGAAAGTTAGTCCGGTCCCTGAAAGCGTATTGTTATCTCAGTCCAAAGTAAGGCTCTTGCCGCTAGACTAAGTAAAAAGGCTTGGTAATTAGTCTGGTCCTAAAAGAGCAACGGTTAGCTCGGTCACCATACTAAAAGTTATACCAGTCATAGCGCAGTGGTATTAGATCGGTCGGAACCATGATAATAGTTAGCTCGGTCCAATCATACTGTGGTCTGTACAGGGGAAACCGGGATAAGAGGAGTGAATGGAAAAGCCGAGCTAAGGTTAGCTCGGTCTAGTCTGCGGCTTAGCATAGCCATGCTTACTTCGGTCATGTTGGAGTCTAGCCATGGTAAAACCATCTAACTTGGTTTAAGCAGTGAGTGGGGTGTTGAAGGATAAGCATTGTCTTTCAAGAGTGTGAATCCAAGGAGGACTCTACATGGAGGAGTAAGAGTCCTACTAGGATTATGCCACGCGGAACCTATAAAAGCTCACAACATCACTTATGGAGGGGTAACACACACCTTTGATTCTCGAATACACAAAGCTTTTTGTTTTTGTCTATTTTGCTGACTTAGGCATCGGAGAGGTATCTGGCACACACCCGCCAGCTAGCTCACGTTTGTATTTTCAGGAAGTAAAGCGATGACGTACGGAGGAGGGCAGACTTGATCAACAGGATTATACGAGAATGTTTATTTCTTTCCCGTACAGTGTTCATAGTTCGACATTATTGAATAATTATTCATTTTTGGAAATAATCTGAAAGGATAAAAGTGATATATTTTCATAATTAAATAAGTTAAAATATTCGAATTCATACATGATGATACAAGGTGATATCTATCAAAAAATGGGAGGGGTGTTAGCGTAATTATAACCCAAAACTTACACCATTATTAACATTGAATTGAAAGAGTCTCCTTGACAAAAATATGTAGAGAAGAATAAGGAATCACCGCACACACATAACGGTTCACCTCTCTTTTCTCTCAAAACCACCACCTCTACCATTGTCTCTATCTATAAAATGGCCTCCCTATACCTGTATTCACGGCAACACACCAACAACACACCACAACACACACACCAAGAGGATCCTAACAACAACCCCAAAACCAAAAATAATGGCAAAGGCCGTCGCCCTCCTCGCCCTCTGCGTCTTGGCCTTCGCCACCATCGCCCAATCCCACGAAGAGGTATTCAACGTCGAGGGTAAGGTCTATTGCGACACATGTCGTGTCATGTTCCCTACCAGAGTCACCCAGTACTTGGAAGGTACACCATAATACATCCTACCCTACCTATATCGTCATTTGCATTGATACATGCACACAAAAATTAATGTATAATTTGATTTTATGTTTCACTTTTTTGGGCAAGAAATGTGGATGTTGTGTTGCCATGCAAAAACACACACAGTGACAATGTGCTTTGATAGCTATATAAATGGACATAGAAAAGAGAGGCTCCACTAAAACATCTCCTTTTTTGTTTTTTAAGGTCAAATATAATTTTAAATTTTTTATTTTTAGTATATTTTTATGTTTGGTATTTTTCTTTTCATATTTTAGTTAATTTTGAAATTTACTTAAGGGTTCATTTGGGATGTCAGTTAATTTTTTAACTTTTTGATTATTTTAGCCTGTAGTTAAAAAGCCTCGTTTGTGATAGATTTTTTGGCTTTTTTAACTTTTGTCAGAGAGAAAATGAAATGATTATGAGCTGAATGTGATATTTTGTCTTATTTAGCAAAAAAATCTATTTTGTCTTTTTGTTATTAAAATAGTCAAAAAAAAAATTAAAAGCCTAATCAAACAAAGGCTTAATCTGTATGTACATAAAAAAATAAAATATTTATAAAGAAATATGGAAAAAAATTAAAAATTCAAAAAAAAAAAAACACACAAAAATGCTCTATAGTAAATTTTTTAAAGATTTCTTTAGATCCATCTAAAAAAAAAATTTAATTAAAATATTTTTAAAAATTAAAAAATTTCAAAAACTCAAAAGGTACAATTTTTTTTACTAGCATAAAACAGAGAATGAAATAGATGATATGTGCTTATTCCTATGCAGGTGCTGAGGTGGAACTGAGATGCAGGGCCATTGAGAATGGCACAGTGACCTACTCAGTCTCCGGAAGAAGCGGAGCTGGTGGTTGCTACAGCCTGAAAGTCCACGGCGACCACCAGGACGAGATCTGCGACGTTGTGGTTGTGTCGAGCCCCGACCCCAGCTGCAACGAAATCGTCTCTGAGATCGACAGTACCAGGCTGTGCCTCACCCATAACAGCGGCATTGAATCTGCTGTTCGCTATGCCAACCCCATCGGATTCGTCAAGACTGAGGCTCTCACCGACTGTGCCGAGGTGCTCGATGAGCTTAGTTTCGTCCCAATTGAGCTCCAGCACTAATTGAAGAGGTGACTAAGGCTTTTGCCATGAATAAGGAACACTCGTAGCTTCTTTTTTATTTATTTCTTTTCTTTCTTCTCCTCCTCCTCTCCCGTATGTGTGTGATGTGATGAACTTTGTTTGAGCAGTAATGCAATATGTAACAGTGATGTGTGACAAAGTGTATTTGTAGGGGAGAAGTTTATATTAATAAAATGTGTTTTGGTGCGTCAAAGCGTATTTGTATATCTTTTATATATATATATATATATATATTTATGTATTAGTGGGTGACACGCGTAATACATATGCAATTTAGATAAATAAATATAAAAATTAATAATAAAGAGTGTTCTTGAATGAAACTTAAGGTCTTAAATTCAAATATTACCCACATTTTTTACTAATATTTTTTTATTTTAGGATAGAAAAATTTGTTACGTGACAGAAGAAAAAGTCACTACACTATTAAATATCAAGTCATGTATTCACATATATAATAATATAGATATATACAAATATATATATATATATATATATAAATTAATAAATGGTGTGCATTGTCGTTCTGAATTAGATAATAAATAGAAAATTGCAAAGTAAGCTTAGAGTCCATTCAGGATCATGATGCACTTTTTAAAAAAAAATTGTGTTACTATACTTATTGATTAAATTAAATGCACGGATTTGATACAATAGCAACTTCTAATATATTGGATTGTTTGCTTCTAAAAAGTAATTTGCTCTCTGTCACATGCACTGACAATTATAAATTTGGTATCCAGCTTAACGCCTTTCCAAAACATGTTCGCCTTGCATTCAATGAATGGCAAGTGGTTTTTAGTGAACTTCCAGTCAATAAAGAAATCTCTATGACCAAATGTCTTATTCATTTTGCTATTCGCTTTGGAATTCTATGGATATGGAAATGGGATTTCCAATGTGATTTCCAGAATAAGATTCCCAGATTAAAACGTGTTTTCCTGTATAAATGGTGGGTTAAAATGGATGATCCGAAACTTAAACAGGAATTACTCCAGAAAATTAAAGAGCATACGCAAGCTTGCTGGGATGCCTCCCCAAAGTCCATCCCAGCTCCTCCAAAAAATCCATTTATCCAAATTCAGCAAGAGCTCAAGAACAAATTTCCAGACTTATCAGAAACTGAGTTTGTCATCAAAAGCATGGATTATATGACGCAGCAATTTATTCAATCCATCGCTAGTAAGGACTCCAGTATGAAATCCACATCCAGTACCCAGAGTGAAGAAGATCGAACTACAGCAGATCCATATGAGAAAGAAAATACTTTTACTGTTCTTGCGGGTGAATCTCAGGATCCGGATGATGACCCGACCGAACCAAATTATAGAGATATTTGCGATTCGGTTACAGAAATGATTGCCCTCCAGATTCCCAGCTTAATGTGTTAGAAGCTATACAGCAAAAATGGGTAACCACAGATGGACGCGAAATTTATACTATCCATCCTCCTACTCAAACCCTAGAACTTCAACCTACAGGACCAAACACCAAGCCAATGACTATTGCCGCCTATACAGAAATTCCTCATAAAAGTCAACATCGAGATCCAGTTCTTATTCAAGATATGATTCCTGTCTTAAAACAAAATAATTATACAAATCTTTTTTGTCAAACAGCCGGTAAGCAGCTTACAAGAATCGAAGAGATGGTATCTCATGTTAAAAAAAGCTGCAAATTAGAACCAAAGCCGACAGATGTTGAGCCAGTTCTTATCAAACCTACTCCAGTCCTTCGAGATTTTAAATTAAAATCTAAAGAAGAAACTGAGTTCATGGATACTCTTCTTTCCCGTATTAAAAATCTACATATTAGTGAGCCACCTCCGACGTCTACGTCCCAGGTTAATATGCTTTCCAGTAATTCTCTTTTGTCTACCGAACATGAGTCCTTTGATCAATTATCTCCTCAAGAGATTTTTGAAATCCAGCAAAATTTCCAACCCTCTTCGGTTAATCGGGTCACCTATGGATCTAGTACCCAACGCCTATCCTTATCTGCTCCTAACCGGTACTATTATCCTCGGCCTAGTCCTATGGATATTCTCTATGAAGAAGACTTCTTACAGACCCAACGATCTTACCATAGTAATACCATTTATGAATGGAATATTAATGGCCTTTCCGAATATCAGATTTATGAACTTCTCCAGCAAATGCTTATGTTTGCTACTGTTTGCAAACAAAATAATAATTCCGATCATCAAGTTGCCCGCTATATTGTTAGTGGTTTTACCGGTGTTCTGAAAGGATGGTGGGATAATATTCTCACCGTTAACCAGTGTACAGAAATCCTTTCATCCACCCATACCGTCCTTGAAATTGATCCCGCCGGCTCAAGTACTAGTACTGTTGCAGCACAAGTTGAACGAGAAGAAGAAGATGCAGTTTACACTCTTATCAACACCATAATTACCCATTTTATTGGCCAAGCTACAGGAATATCAGACCGTAATAGGGAACTACTTATGAGACTTAGATGCCCTTCTTTATCACATTTTAGATGGTATAAAGATGTTTTCCTAATGAAAGTAATGCAGAGAGCTGATGGTAGTTCTGAGCATTGGAAGGCTAAATTCATTGATGGTCTCCCCACTCTCTTTGCTGATCGAGTTCGTAAGAAATTACGAGATCATCATCGTTCTGTATCCATACCATATTACCAATATACTTATGGCCAGTTGGTTAGTTTGGTTACAGATGAAGGTCTTGCACTTTGTAATGACCTTAAACTCCTGCAACAACTTAAACAGCAACAGCTTACAGGTAAAAAAGAATTAGGTGAATTTTGTGAACAATTTGCCTACGATCCTCAAGTCCAGTATCCCCATAAGCAGCGAAAACATAAAAGTTATTCTAAACCTCATAAAAAAATACAGAAAATATTCTAAACCAAAGGTCCAGTCACAACCTCAGACTTCTAAACCTAGGAATAAATCCAGAACCAAAGGAAAACCTTTTCAGAAGAATAAATCCAGTATTAAATGTTATAAATGTGGACAAATAAGTCATTATGCTAATAAATGTAGAGCTAAAATTCAAGCTAAGCTTAATGAGTTAGCCTCAGATGATGACATGCAGCAAAAAATATTACAGTTACTTTCTGACTCTAGCTCAGCATCAGATCCTTCTAATAATGAACTAGCAGCAATTTACTCGGATAGTTCAGAACAAGAAACAGATGATAATCCAGAAAATGAAATTTGCCCTTGTAAAAGTTCAGTTAACCAAGTCTCCGATGAAGCAAATTATTGGAAAGCTATAGTAGAAATGAATGGACTTAATATTGGTCCCAGTATTAATGTCCTAACAGATTCTGAGCAAAATCTTTTAGAAATTGCTGATGGAATTAAATATCCAGCTACTAAATTAAAGTTTCTTGAGATGTGCTATAATCAGAAGAAAGAAGAAGTGCTTCCCCCTAAACATTATAGCATGAAGGAAGTCTTTAACAGAATGCAGACACCTAGTCCAGAAAAACCCATTACAGTTCAAGAATTAAAAATGGAAATTAATGCTTTAAAAGTAGAAATTAGGCATTTACAGAATTCAAATCTTGCTATTAATTTTCAGATAAAAAAAATTAATACCCAACTACAGAATGAGAAAAAGACTAAAACTGAAACACCCGAACCTGACCCAGACTATTTAATGTTATTAAATAAAATAACATTTCAAAAATGGTATATTCGTATCACATTCATGATTCAACTAGATTATATTATTCGCGATGCTATTGCTTTGGTTGATAGTGGTGCAGACATGAATTGCATACAAGAAGGCTTGGTACCTACCAAGTATTTCCAGAAAACAAGTCAATCACTAACCAGTGCCAGTGGTAACAGTTTGTATATTGATTACAAACTTCCAGAAGTATTAATTTGTACTCAGGGATTATGTTTGAAAACCTCTTTTGTTTTAATTAAAAATATGGCTCAAAACATAATTCTTGGAACTCCTTTCCTGAACCTTTTAATGCCTATTACTAAAATTGATACAATAGGTATTCATACTACCCTTGATAATCAAAACATTGTTTTTGAATTTATCACTTCCCCTTGTACTAAAGAATTAGATCAAATTACTGATTTAGTTTCTTTAAAACAAAACCAGATAAATTTTCTTCAAAAAGAAGTGAGTTTTCTGACTACAGAACAAAGATTACAGCAAACCTCTTTTCAACAAAAAATTAAATTACTCGAAAAAGAATTTCAGGATGAAATCTGTAGTGATGTGCCAAATGCTTTTTGGGATCGCAAGAAACACATGGTTTCGTTGCCCTATGAGCCTACTTTTGATGAAAGAAAAATTCCCACCAAGGCTCGTCCCAGTCAAATGAAAAAAGAGTATATGGAACTTTGTAAAAATGAAATTAACACTCTTCTCCAGAAAAAGCTAATTAGACCCAGTAGATCTCCTTGAAGTTGTACTGCTTTCTATGTAAACAAAAATGCAGAAATTGAAAGAGGCGTTCCGAGGTTAGTAATTAATTACAAACCTTTGAATGAAGCCTTACAGTGGATTCGATATCCAGTACCAAATAAAAAAGATCTTTTAGATAGATTACAAGATGCTGTGATATTTTCTAAATTTGATATGAAATCAGGAAATTGGCAAGTTCAAGTTGTAGAAAATGATCGATATAAAACTGCGTTTACAGTACCCTTTGGACATTTTGAATGGAATGTAATGCCATTTAGATTAAAAAATGCTCCTTCAGAATTCCAGCACATTATGAATGATATTTTTAATCCATATACAGAATTTGCCATATGTTATATTGATGATGTTCTTATTTTTTCATCTTCAATAGATCAGCACATGAAACATCTTAATATTTTTAAGCATGTTATTTCCAGAAATGGTCTTGTGGTTTCTGCTCCTAAAATGAAACTTTTTCAGACAACTGTTAGATTTTTAGGACATAATATTCATAATGGAACAATTATTCCTATTAATCGCAGTATGGAATTCGCCCCTAAATTTCCAGATGAAATAAAAGATAAAACACAATTACAGCGATTTTTGGGTAGTTTCAATTATATTCATGATTATTATCCTAATCTTGCTACTGATGCAGCAATCTTATACAGTCGTCTTCGAAAAAACCCTCCTGTTTGGGGTCCAGAACATACTGCAGCCGTTAAGAAAATCAAGGCTAGAGTTCAAACTCTTCCTTATTTATGTTTACCTC